TATATATATAACTGACATTTAGAACCACATAGAAGGAATCAGAGGATTCTAAAGGAGTGTTAAAATTGAAAATTGAAAAAATTTATAGTGTGTGGCATCGATGTGGGAATTGGGAATAGCAGAAAGGGTATTTTAGAGTAGGGAAAGTTTGTCTTGAAAAAGTTTTTTTCCTGGCTAACTGGCAAGCAGCAAGAAGCCCTACAATTAGTAAATACAACTGCAAATTGTTAACTTAATATAACAATGACCCTTTTGAGCCATGGCTAAAGGTACTCTTAGTGTAACCAGTGCCATTAGCATCATCTTCCACCCTGAAGGATGGCACGTGTAAGCTGGCAACTTCCTTTGGCTGCATTTATGTGTGATAGAGGTTTAATATGAGAAGTCACATAAGCGATATCTTCATAGAGATGAAGTGGGAATAACATTCAGTATATATATATGTGTGTGTATCTGTTTAAATAATTAATATACATTTTTACCTTTGGATCTGTAGGGAATTCAACTTTACGGCCACCCTGAAAAAAACAATAACATGGTAAGAAAAATAGTTTTGCACTGAAACATTACCATTTTATATTAGCCATAGCAGTTTATAGTAAGCCATTGAATTTCAGCGTGACTACGTTCCGGTTTGTTTTAACTTACATGAGATAGTTCTAAAATTACCAACAATAGAGATGAACACACGAGGAAGGCAGGCTCGAACGGAGCCTCGCACAGGCAGTCTATAAGCTGGTCTGCATTGTAGGAGTGTTTTTTGACCTAGTAAGTTTTCTTAACTTGGAAAATTTCTCATAAAAATCCATACTTCTCTTGAAAAAGCAGTTCCAAGGGCTGACATCTCTGGACCCAGATTCTCCCAGGCCGCTGTCTTCGGATTCTGCATTTAACGATCCTGCCCTAGGATCACCCTTCAGCTGGGAACAGGCACGGGGTTGCCGTCTCTACCATTCCCTTCGGTTCAACTCTCAGCCATTTGTATTTTCTGCCTGGCGCCTGCAGGTATTTGATTTTGCAACCAGGGCTTACGAAACTATCACGTGTTGAAGTTCACATAATAAGATCTGAAGGACTCATGGAATAACTAGATAAACTGTTAAATAAAATTTAACACATCCCAAAGGATGAGTCTATGGGGAGTTGTTATAAAATAAAAAGCTTTTTAAAAACAAACTCACTAAAATCCAAGAAATGATGTTACATTAAAAAGATATTGCACAAAAATATTAAATACGTCAAGAGTTTAAATCAGCAATGGGAAAGTTGGATTTTTTCAAAATTAGTATCTTCAATAGCTTTTGAAAAAAGTGCCGCTAAGGATGCTCAAAGGCACCAAATGAACTATAATTATAAAAGAATGTGTTGGTTTCCTTACCTTTTATGAAAAAAAGAAACAAAACAAAAAAAAAAAGGAATGTGGCTGATATTATCAGCAACCCAGAGATTATACCACCAAGCACATGACCTTTTCAAAAGTAATCCTGTTCGAACACCATAGACTTTGCAGATTTTTCATCATCATTACAAACTGCTCCTAAAACCTGGATGAATTCTTTCATACATTCACAAAACTAACAAAACTTTGTCTTTGAAAGTGAGTTTCATTTTAGAAACAAAAGCCCAAATCATTTGCATTAAGACCAGCCAACATACAGATAATTAAATCAAATACTTTGGGAGGAGGGGTAAAATTAAGATTAAAAAAAAAATGTCTTCCTAAGTTTCTAATTTGTCTCAAACTGTCTCAGGAGCCAAGTGCGAAGTACAGTTTCAAAAACATGTTTGTAATGGGAGCCTCATCTCGCCATGGGTGCTTAGGGAACAACTTCTATGCTGCAGCACACACTGCGCTCAACACTGGGGACAAGACAGATGTGGCCTGTTTCCTCCCAAAGCTGACAGTCTAGCGGAAGAGACAAAGAACAAAGCAAGACACTGGGATAAGGGAGAGGAAGCACAAGGCTCCTTCCACAGCAGATACTCAGGAGGACAATACTCATTTGGTCCAGCCCCAGCGACCCCCAAGCCACCACCCAGCGCAGCCTCATGTCACGGCAGCCGAGCCGGTCCTCAGCGTGCCCTGCTCTCTCCCAGGCTGCACCCTGGCTCACGCAGTGCATTCACCAACAGCTCCATCTAAAAAATCATCCTGCTAATTTTTAAAGACTGAATTTAATTTAGCATGAAGCTTTCCTAATTATCCCTCTTTTCTGTCGCATCACCCACAACTTGGAATTGTATGTATCCTTGTCCTGTTTTTCCACCAATGTTTAATTCTTCACTTTCCTCACTTGTTAAACCTACACTGGGCTGAAGCTTTGTGCGCCCATCTGCAGGTCTGCAGGGGCTGAGAATGCCTTAAAGACAAAGGACATAGTCTTACCTGCTTTTTTTGTTTGTTTTAATCTACAGCATCTAGCAAGTTACTGTTTCCATAATTTCTGTTGAGCAAATTTGTCCAATCTGCTACAAATTTGTTTCTTAAAAGTCAGCTTTATTGCTTCAAAGTCACACCCCATGAATTACCATGTCAAGCTGACAAAGAATCACCACAAGAACATTTGGATTTCATTTTTACCATTTTCAGAGGCCTCATGGATCCAATGTATGCTGCTTCTGTATCCCAGAAGGACAAGTCAGGGTATTCACCAGGTTCCAGGATGAAAGGAACACCCTGAAATCCAGGTTCTTCATAAATCAGCCACCTAAACAGCCACCATGGAAGGAAAGAAAGGGAGCCAACTCATCATTTGTTTCAGTTTTTCCTTCTGTCTGGTACCCAGGATGAGAGGAAAAGAACAGGAGAGGATACGGACCCACACAATGAACGGCTGGACTTAGGTGTTAGAATCACACTAGACTCAAGGACAAATAAAGCCATTATATGCTTCTCTTCTTGATCTTTCACTTTTCTCCTTGGCTGGCTTTGTCCCCTTATTTTAATTTATATTATTAATTGCTCCTAAGTTCCACCTAATCATTTGTCATGGTGCCAAACATTAGTAACAGCTAACATCTCCCTAGAGCATAAAAGGAATCCACTCAGAATTTCATGTAATCCTCACTGCAATGCTATGAGGAAGAGATGCTATTGTCCCCGTTTGATAGATAAGTAAGTTGCCCAAGGCCACACAGCTGTAAGTATGAAAGGCTGGAACGATTCAAGCCGATTCCAGATCCAGGTTCCTAATCAATTTTTTTTTTTCTTTTGACGGAGTCTTACTGTGTTGCCCAGGCTGGAGTACAGTGGCTTGCTCTCGGCTCACTGCAACCTCTGCCTCCTGGTTCAAACGATTCTCCTGCCTCAGCCTTCCAAGTAGCTAAGAGTACAGGCACACACCACTGCACCCGACTAAGTTTTGCATTTTGCATTTTTTTTTACTGGGGGGGGTCTCACCATGTTGGCCAGGCTGGTCTCGAACTCCTGGCCTCAGGTGATCCATCAGCCTCGGCTTCCCAAAGTGCTGGGATTACAGGTGTGAGCCACCATGCCCAGCCCTAATCATTTTGGTGATGGCAATTTTTCTCATTACAGGAAGTGCACTGAACACAGTTTACTCTTTTCACAGTTACTCAGGATCATCACTGTGAGCATTACTTAATGCACAGTGGTGTCCTCAGGGGCTCTGAAGGTCTGTGGGACTGCTTGTTCCCAGGCTGCAAAGTTTTTTGAGTTCTTGGTTCTGATTGTTATGGCTTTTCAATACCACACCCTTCTATCAGCTTGTCAGCTGTGGCTTCCGCTTCAGTCGGGAACCAGCAGCCCCACCCTCCTCTAACGTGCCAGAAATCAGGAAACCAGAAAACCATGCCTATTAGCCCTGTCTCTGAAGTTTACAAGGTCTTCTTGTAAATGTCTTGGTTCCTGGGAAGGGTTCCGAGAAGGTAAGGATGCTGAAGAAGTGAGTTTTCTATAAGAGAGTGGTTAATGTACCCACTTCATAAACAAACGTAGACTTCTTAGTGATCACTTACAACTCACCAATTTGATTAGTTTCCCTAAAAGGTTCTAGCCGTGGCACTCCACCATGTTGCTGTGTTCCCCAGAACACCACGCCAAGAAGAAAGTGGCTCTAAATGAAACCTTTTACCAACAAAATGGGTCTGACACCTCCCTCTTTGCTTTTTTCTTCTTCCCAATTTTGGCCCAAGGCACATTTTTGGCGATGGGTTTTGTTGAAGATTCCGCTGGATAAATTGGTCACTTCTCTAGACTCTCTAATTATACAGTGATTTACAACCAGGCTCCTACTGATGATTTGACAACACACACATGAAAGAATGTTGGGAGGCCAGGTGTGGGATATGGGTAAGAGGTCAGAACTACAGTGTTAGAAGTCAGGATGATGGTTACCGGGTAGAGGGCGTGAAGATGACTAGGAAGACGCACGAATGAAAGGGGTTTCTGCGACGCTGGGAATGTTCTTTTTCTTGACCTGAGTGGTGATCGCTCTTGTATTCACTTTGTGAAAATTCACTCAGCTTATATATTTAGGGTTTATGAACCTTTTTGTACAGATGTTATGCTTCAAAAAAAAAAGTTACCTTAAGGAAAAAAAGAGGCTTATCTTTTAAATACTACTCTAATGCTTCTAAAGCACAAGAAAACAGAGGCTAAGAATAGGGTACTTTAAACTTCCTTATGTTTAAAGCATGACAGCCAAGGATACACTACATGTATTCTGGAGCTCAAAGTTATCACAGGCACACTACCCACAGATTTTTTTCTCTAACAAAGTAATGGCAGTTCTGTAACACATTATGGTATTAGGCTAACAAACCAAGCAGGTTCCGAAGTCTGACTTCTTTAAAGCTTAATTTTTCATAAACTGAATGTATGGCTCATGAGCAAGTGATCTGAGATTTTGAAATGATCCTTACCAAAGTGCCTTTTCATTAAGTCTTTCCTTCTATAGCTTGAGTTCAAAGAGGATTTATTCATCTGATACTAAACATTTCACTTTTGTTGAAGCATGTGGTTTAGTTGCATAACATTTATGGAGGAAAGTCATTCTAGGTAGAGGGGAATTTGTGAAAAAACTGAACATATAAATGAATGCATTTGAAAAGACTGCTGTTCTGAAAGTTCTTCCTTAGTAAATGAGTGCTGAAGGCCTGCTGGGTAATTCAAACAGACATTTACTAACGTTGGGTGGACTTTGGAATTTGAAAACTCATATACAGAGTATGATTCACTTTTTCTAAATTCTGTTCCCAATAAGATACATTATTTATGAGGCCATCAGGAGAGGGGGAAACTATCTCCAGGCAGTGTTATTTCGGTTTCTAAAGGTAATCTTTTATTTTCCCATGCACTTAGGTCATAAGCTTTTGCCAATATAGATTAAAAAGTACAACTTTATAGTTGTACTTAACAAACAGTATGATTATAAAGTCAAGCTTATTTTTTTAAACAAACAAATGTATACCTACAAATCAATATTTTTAAAGTAATAACAATGGCCATCTGTTTATTAAAAATATTTGTCTAATTACTCTTTTAGAAATACCCCTTGAGTCACACAAGAAAAATCAGTCTTATCTTGTTCACTTGTTCTTAAACCAAAAACAGCACTTCCAGATGGATCTTAAGTTTTGTTCCCTAGATATGGCTGTCCATGAATATTGGCCATTCACAGAAACCAACTGGATACGTGAAAAATTAAATATGAATGTACTGACTTTGAGGTTATTCACAAGAGAGGGGGCTGTGAATGTCAAAGGGGAAAATGAACCTTTACAATGGAAAGATGGAGGAGGCACCACTTTAACCAAGCAATCAAACTTGGTATTGCTAATGGGCAAGCTAGTTAGCACATGCTGCCTGCTGTGATGCAACGTAAATATATGGCGCTACCTATACAAAGTATCCATGCCAAAACTGTT